TGATGGGAGTTTGATTTCAATCACACATTTGTACATACAATACAATAATGAAGATAAACAAACAAGAAGAATGAGAAAGAGGAACCCTAACCCTAAAATAGGAAGAAATGGGTAAAAGAGAAAAGGGAAGAAAGATGCAAGAGAGAAATAGATGATGATGACATGACTAGGGTTTGTAATGCCATTATATTATGGCTCGCATTTTTTAGCCGCAAAATTATGCCGTTGAACCGTTCTTCACATCTCTCTCCGCCTCACACACCGACCAGAATCCTTATTTTATGGAATCCATCCGACTAATCATATTTCAAAAACTTTTTTTCTTTTTTTACTTGTTAAGTAAATTAGAGTTAGTAAAAATCATTTATTAAAGATTAGTGTTATTAAATAAAGAAAGATATTCTATTATTTCTTTATTTTCGATCGAAATTATATTTATTTTTTGTTATATTATTTTTATCATTTGTTACCATCACTTTTATTATCCTCTACAATGTTCATGTGGCGCTTGTTAAATCCTCAAATACATAGTTCGATCAAAATGTGGCGCTTGTTTATCCCATAAACTTATTTTATAAATAATTTTTTATCCCTTTTTGATCTATGGGGCCGGCACGTGTTGACTATTTTTCAGAGGTATCTGATTGAGAATGTCATGTAGGTCGAAAAGAATAAAAAATTATTTATAAAATAAATTCGAGATAATAAGACTTTTTTCGATCAAAATGTTACTTATATTAAAATGGAAATAGTAATAGTAATAACATTGTTCGGACTATCTCGTGGTAATGGGCGTTTCATTGTTAATGTTTTGGGTTACATCCCGACCCTGGAAATTGCGGGTATTTTATAACCCTATTGTAAAGTGTTCCGGTGGCGTCCGCCTGAAGTTCATCCTTCACTATAGTGGTGCATTATCAAAAAGGATTTTTTTTAATCGATTTAATTCGAATTGTGATTTAGCTTGATTGTTAATCATAACCATGAACAGTCCTATTCGCAACTTTATTCTGCTCCCGAAAAACGTACTCCAGCCTTGTAATATATATTCAACAGCCTCACTATTAGTGACATGCATTCAGTGATTAGATCATCATAGAGCAAGTTGCCATTTTTAAGCCTTTTGATGAGTTCAGAGGAATCATAGTTAGATTTTTAACGGCTAAGATTGAAGTTTTGTAGCAATAGACAGGACCTTCCGAAGGGCTTGAAAACTTTGCTCTGATGGGGTTGGTAAGGGGGTATTCTGCAAAACCCTTTTCCCACAAACCCAAGTGGTTTCTTATCACGTCTCCGGGACCTTAGGGGCCGAAGTTTGGAGGTAATAGGACTTTAGTATAGTATAAGTGTATCCCTAGCTTATCCATTTTGCCTAAATAATTTTGTTAATATGTTTTTAAAAAAATTAAATTTTAATTATTGTAGTTTCATAAAATATTTTTTCATAAATTAAAAATATAACATGCTAAAAAAAAGGAATAAATTAAAATAACATTATAAAATATAAATAATAAAATAAAATTTAATCATTATTGCACAAACAAATAATATGTTTAGAAATAACTCAACGACCTGCTTGACCCTAGACTTTTCAGCCTCTTATATGTATAAAATAATAGAGTAATATATATGGTCGACAAATCAGCCACAAGATTATTCTTTTTAGCTAGCATCCAATATTAAAAAGACCAGAATAATTTATGTCTTGGTTTGCATAATTGATAATCATGAGAAAAAATACACGATGCTCGTATATTTGGATATATGTTAAGAATATAATAACTAATAAAAATATTTTTTTTAATTATTTAAATTTTTAAATAAAATAGTCGTGAACTTTAATGTGATATTAAAGTGGGCAGAGGTCCTGAAATAGAACTTCATTGCCGTCTAAATTAAAAAAATTCATATGTTTGATTTATGAAAAAAAGTCTCTTATTTTAGGACGTGAGGGGATGTGTTAAGAATATCATTAACTAATAAAAAATATAATCTTTTAATAGCTTAAATTTTTAAATGAGATAACCACACACTTAACGATATATACTTCTACATTAATTATTAAATCCTTGATGATTTTACCTTACATATCTTTAATTATGAGAAAGATACAATTTTTATTTTGAAGAGTTTTGATACTAACCGATGGTATATGAGTCTATATATAACTTGGGGAAAACTAAGCAAAAATCTGTAAAAGTAAAATAATTATTAATATGTATTTCTTTATATTCACACCCCACTAAATAATTGTATTATATATATTAAACTAATTTTACTTTAATTGATACTAAATTAGTATCAATTTTATGATATTATTAAGGTTGATAATTTTTACTTAATTAATCTTAAATCAGTAAATATATTGTATTAATATCAACCTTAATGATATCAATGCAGTTTATAATACTAATTTAGTATTAGTTAAGAGAAATCATCAACCTTATTTTAATTAATAGGGGATATGACATGCAATTATTTATGAGAGAATAAACATATTAGGAATTACTTTAGATTTAGATATGAATGATTATAATTAATTTAAATTTTATGAGTTTTCTGTGTAACTTATATTTATGTCAGGAGCTTCGTTCATGTGCTAGGATCTGTGTTATTTTAATAGAAAAAGTTCCCTTTATAGGAATCTACTAGTTTATCAAACAAATATATTAAAACATTCCAATAGGAACTCAAGGTAAATTAATAATTTTTTAAAAATAATATTATTTTTTCGGTTCGACTTAGGATAATAGAAAAAATCACTCATTTTAATAAGATAATAAGATAGAAATATATTTTCCAAAGATCCCTTTATAAATATATGATTTTATTAGTACTATAAATTAATGATTCTTTAAAACTATAAATATATAGTAAAATATGATTTTACTTTTTTTTATTTGTTAGAATTTAACTCTAGTTGTTTCTCATCTCTAACTTTTATTATTGCATCCAAAAATTATGATATTATCTTTTCGAACCGCATCATAAAATTGTGAGTTCTAAATATAATAAGTGTTCCTTATGCGCAACTGGTTCCTAAGATAAAAATATATTATAATGAATCATACACATGCATTGTATTTTATGTATAATAATTTTTTTATAAGCGAATTCAATAATTTTGACACCTAATTTAGTAAGATACAAATTTTGATGTATCCATTGTACTCTCTATATAATAAATTTATTTTTTATCGAATTCAAAACTTATGATATATAAATTAATAAAATATTATGATTTTGATATAAATTGATCTTTATTTAATCTCAAAATATTCTTTAAATTAATAAATATTAATTTATTAATTAAATAATTCATATAAAATAATAATATTTTATAATTTTACCAATATTAATTTAACGAGGTTTTACCGTAAACCTGTATATACCTACCTATATATAAATGATTGCAATTTGCATGTTTGTTTAGTATGGTTTGCTTGAGACCATGCTAACTTGCAAACATGTCTTGTTCAACTAATTGATAAACTATAGGCCTAATGTTATTTTACTTTAGCATGAAAAAAATGCATTTTGTCTCTTTCACAGTCATGGTATTTGGTTTAGGTGGCTGTGTAATCTATCAAAAGGCAATCTAAATTAAGTTCTTTAAAATAATTTTATTTGTTTATAAGTTGATATTTTGTTCAAAATAAATTATCGACAAAGTGTCTAAATTTTTAAATTTATTTTTATTTTAAAATTAGATCAAATTGAATAATGCTCAAATATGTTGCGCCTGCCTCGTAAGGCACATCCTTGACCCATGGTGGTTGCGCCCTAGAAGGCGCATACAATTTGAGCCTTCCTTATAATTAAAAAAAAATGTTTTTTTAATTGCTTTTTTGAAAGTTAAAATTAAAAAAAAAAAAATATTTCATTGCCTTTTTTTGGAAGTAAAGTTTTTTTTTTAAAAAAATAATTTTTCATTGCTTTTGTTTGGAGACTTTTTTTTTTTTTTAAAAAAAAACGTCTTCTCTTCGCATTTTTTATGGAAGTCAAATTTCTTAAAGAAAAATGATTTTTCATTGTTTTTTTAAGAAAAACCTTTTTTCATTTTTTTTTTTGGAAGTTAATATTTATTGTTTTAAAAAAAATGTTTTTTCATTGCTTTTGTTTTTTGGAAGTTATTTTTTTTTTTAAAAAAAAGACGTTTTTTCATTGCTTTTTTGGAAGTTAATTTTTTTAGGAAAACTCATTTCTTTTGGTGTCCTTGCAATGAAATATAAATTGCAAACGATTTGACTCGTTTTCTAGGAGTTTTTTTTTAATTTGACTCGATTTACAGTTAGATTCGATTCTCAATTTGATTCTATACATCACTAGTTAAACCTTTTGCATTCTGTAAAATCTATTGTTATCTGTACAAAAACATCAAAATTTGCTTTTGGTGTCCTTAAATTATAAGTATTGCAATGAGTAATCAAATTATATTGAATCGGTGCAATACAATTTTAATATCATTATATTAACTTTTCAAATTTTTGAACCACATTATTATTCTTACTTCATACATCTTACCTTCCACGAATATATTATTATTATTATTATTATATACACGTGAAGTTGAAAAAAAAAATGTTAATAAAACTTACTTTTCACCCCAATCTAATATTTAGCCAAGTTATATGTATGGCTAGCTAGCAGTTTTTCTAAGGCAACTACGTATTATTGCCATCAATATTCTATTTGAAGTTTGTCGGATTTGGTGACACTAACACATCCACCTTTAACTCGTACTATATCTGTTCACTTTTCATTTATCAATTTTTAATTATCATAGTTTTTTTTAAGTCAAAATTTTAACTAATATTTTATAATGTGATATATAAAAAATTACAATTTATAATATATTTCGTACAATTTTAAATATTTATTTTTTATTTAAAATATTAAATTAATATAATTTAATTTAACTTTAAAATTGAAAATTAACTTTTAAAATGAACAACATGACACGTAAAAGTAGACGGAGTTGAGTGATATTATTTTGTAGTTCCAGAAAATTTCAAAATTGGAAACTTCAATAGAATAACAATTTAGACTTCAAAATAAACTGGCAAGCCACATAATATAATAGCTAACCCAACAATTTTGAATTTAACGAGACAAAAGACACTATATATATAACTTGATCACTTAGTAATGCAACAATATATCCATCAATATTAATTCCTTCCTTCAAACTAAAAAATAATGGAGATTCAATTCACAAACTTTGTTGCATTTTTGCTCTTTCTCTCAACAACATTTCTTCTATTCAAAAAATGGAAGACTCAAAACCTAAATTTGCCTCCTGGTCCATGGAAATTACCATTTATTGGAAGCCTACATCATTTGGCACTGGCAGGTCCACTCCCTCATCATGGTCTAAAAAATCTAGCAAAACGCTATGGGGCGCTCATATACTTACAACTCGGAGAAATTCCTACCGTCATCATTTCTTCGCCACGTATGGCTAAGGAAGTACTAAAAACTCATGACCTAGTTTTTGCAACGAGGCCGAAACTTGTAGTGGCCGACATAGTCCACTATGATAGTAGTGACATAGCATTTTCTCCTTATGGTGAATACTGGAGACAGATTCGTAAAATTTGCATACTTGAACTCCTTAGTGCCAAGATGGTTAAATTCTTTAGCTCGATTCGTCAAGACGAGCTATCGAAGATGGTTTCGTCTATACGAACGATGCCAAATAATCATCCGGTCAACCTTACAGATAAAATATTTTGGTTTACTAGTTCAGTAACTTGTAGATCAGCTTTAGGAAAAATATGTTGTGACCAAGATAAATTGATAATTTTTATGAGGGAAATAATATCATTGGCAGGTGGATTTAGTGTTGCTGATTTTTTCCCTACATGGAAAATGTTACATGACGTTGGTGGTTCGAAAACTAGATTATTGAAGGCACATCGTAAAATCGATGAAATTTTGGAAAATGTAGTGAATGAGCATAAACAGAATCGAGCAGATGGTAAAAAGGGTAATGGTGAATTTGGAGGTGAAGATTTGATCGATGTTTTGTTAAGAGTTAGAGAAAGCGGAGAAGTTCAAATTCCCATCACGGATGACAATATCAAATCAATATTAGTCGTAAGTATTCTATATCAAACTTGATATGGTAACCTGAATGATATCGTAGTTGTTTTATTTAATTTTTTTTTATCATGTAGGACATGTTCTCCGCGGGATCGGAGACATCATCGACAACTATAATTTGGGCATTAGCAGAAATGATGAAGAAACCGAGTGTTTTAGCAAAGGCACAAGCTGAAGTGAGACAAGTTTTGAAGGAGAAGAAAGGTTTTCAACAAATTGATCTTGATGAGTTAAAGTACTTGAAGTTAGTAATCAAAGAAACTTTAAGGATGCACCCTCCAATTCCTTTGTTAGTCCCTAGAGAATGTATGGAGGATACAAAGATTGATGGGTACAATATACCTTTCAAAACTCGAGTCATAGTTAATGCATGGGCAATTGGACGAGATCCTGAAAGTTGGGATGACCCTGAAAGCTTTTCACCAGAGAGATTTGAGAACAGTTCCGTTGACTTTCTTGGAAGTCATCATCAATTTATTCCGTTTGGTGCAGGAAGAAGGATTTGTCCAGGAATGTTATTTGGTTTAGCGAATGTTGGACAACCTTTAGCTCAATTGCTTTATCACTTCGATTGGAAACTCCCTAACGGACAAAGTCATGAAAGTTTGGACTTGACAGAGTCACCTGGAATTTCTGCGACAAGAAAGGATGATCTTGTTTTGATTGCCACTCCTTATGATCCTTGACTACATTGAAACAGTTGTAATTGTCTGGGGACTGGGGTATTATATTATAGTACAAATAAAGGTTTTTCAGTTTTACATGATGTATTTAAGTGATTGTATAAGACAAACTTCTGAATGAAAAAAAAATAAAAAAATCTTATCAAGAACTCATTTACTGCAGCCTATAGCATCAACTAACCTTCTTCTATTTATGGCTAAAGGAAATTTTGTTGTTCTGTTTTTACAAGGGCAACTTATTTATACTCACGGTGAATCGGTTGACTGGAATTGCAAGATGTACTTAATCCAGAAAGCACACGAATGTTTCTAAGCCATCAGGTTCAGGACAAAAGTTTTCTTGCAAACATGAGACACATTGATAGAGAATACCATTTAGTGGAAGTAGTGAACACTATTATAGCTCAATTTACAGGTAAGTTATAGTCTACAACAACCAAACTCGAAAAAGCACATACTTGCCACTAAATACACAGGTTTCCTTGAAAATTTGGGCAAGTGAAGAAAGACTACTAAGGAAACCATACAAGCAAGTATGAAGAACTTATTTAACCTTGTTATAGTTTATGGAGCAATTACAGATCCCTTCTGCACATTGGGCAAGAGCCATGTCTCAACAGCCATGTGTCGATGCATGGCAAGTGAAACATGTGATGACATTGTGGCAAACATCTAACAGTTTCTCCAAGTTGAAAGTCCTGTATGCATATAATAGCGAAATGGACTCAGAATCAACAATTAATGTAGTATCTGGACAAATACCAAACAAAAGGTGTGAAATGTTATTCACCTGAAGGCAGACGGAACAAGAGACTCTCTCTCCAGAACCATCCAAGTTGTTACCTTTTGTGATTACAATCTTGGGGATCTTTTCAACCGAATCTCCATGCAAGCCTTTAGCCACACCCGTATCAAAAATGTTAGGGACCTCGTCATATGCAAGTTCAACAGCTCCCATCTAATCAACAAGAAAGACTCAGCCAATGAAGGGAAAGTAAGTTGCTGTCAACATTTTAGATGGCCAACAATCATGTAGCATATATGCCTACCTGACTCTGGACTGCACTTAGCATTGCTGGGCCAATCCTCTCACGAACCAATCGACCACTTAACAGGCTTGTGAGTACATCAATCTGCTTAGTTTAAAAGTTTCATCAATCAAGGGTATATACCTTAGAGCCACAAAAATGATCTTAAGATTGTAATAATGCTTTCTCGTCTCTCTGATTCTTCAGTTGATGTGAGGGAAATTCTACAAGACGAGTATCATATAAATGTGGATGCTAAAATAGCAGACATAGAGGAGTAGATGAAAGGTCACTTGAAATATTTTGGGACCTAAAACCACATAAAGGGGAGTTGTCTCTAGAGATCTACAACCTCTGAATCCATATAGACTAGGGAAGAACATAACAGAATGGAAGCAGAAGTACTAGTTGGGATTAGCTTTTAGTCGGGTTGGTACACTTGCATTAGATCCATATTTGCGAAGAGTCCTCTACATTATCTAGATATTTGAATTTCAGTATATGGATAGATTTGAGATATAGAGAACTTTTGGTGTCAGCAAACACCTAAGTTTTGCTATAAGATAAAATTATTGAATAGCAATGAGAGCGGTCATATAGCTAAGCTTAACTAGTTTGGGACTATGGTGTCGTAAGTAGTTGGTTTGCGTTAGTGGGATGTAGATTGACGCCAATATTGGGCCAGGACATGATTTGCCCATCTATTATTATCCCATATACTCAAGTTATAATATTACAGAACCAACTCTCAGCATAATTAGTGAAAAAGAATCTATATTGCTTACCAAGTAAACAAGACATGTTATTCCAGATTCATCCGACTGCCATAGTAACAGAGATGACTCAAAGACTTCGAGAGAGAAAACAGCACCAGAGATGGCACCAACTGCAGCACCTCTGACAAATCCACTCTCCGTCTCCTGGCCAATCAAAGCTCCAGTCAATGCTCCTAATAAAGTGCCCACTGCAAGAAGCCAATCCATATCTGATTAGTTTCAGCTAGCAATAGGTAGAGAAAGATAACAACCATATTTTTAAATCTAAACAAGCCCCTAAACATTGAACACAATAACATATCTATCAGTCAATCAATTCACCAAAATCCTAAACAGAGTTGGTAATCAAAAGGTATAGAAACGCCAAAAGAAGTTTCTTTTTTCTGCTATTAAGAAGAAGCACCCTGAATTTTCAAGTCAGAGAAACAATCTCAACAAGGAAACAGACGCCCCTGATCAAATATGTGCAAACCCGGGCATACAAAAAGCTATTCTGGGAAAATCCCATTAAATGGTGGAAGAAAATACAGAATCAAAGAAATACCGGATACCCACCTAATGCAAAGAAGAAGGTGAAGACTGCAGATAAGACGCTGCCAATGATTGCAGAAACCGCAACGCTAATGAAATCTTTAGCCCTATCAACCAAATCCCTTATACAAAACGAACAAATAGAAGAGGTAAGAGGGAAAACACGAGATGGGTATGCGTAGAATTCCATTTCCATGGATTCTTTTGAACGATCAACAACAAAAGACTTGGCCTTTTTCTGATTTACATAAATCAACTGCTTATTCTGAAGGGAACTCCATTCTATTTCTTCCAACAAGGAAGGACGAAAATAAAAAGTCTTTCTGCCTTCATTTTTTTCAAAAGATTTCAAGAAAAAAGTGGAACTAGTCTTCGTTTGAAAATAGAGAAAAAGATGTTTGCTTGTTGATGCCAAAGCTTTACAAACGCAAAGAAAGTCATAATTTCATAAAATCAATTTGAGGTTAGACATAACTTCTATTCCAATAAATTGTGATTTTGATAAGCTAACAATGCAAAAATGATAGGTTGTAATTTTCATACTTTTTCCATGGTTGTTACCAATGTAAAGTATTCGCTCTCTAATTATCTTTTCGCTTTTCAATTGACATATATATTAAGAAAATAATAATTAATTGAGATGAATAATTAAAATTCATTTTTTCTATTTTAGATTTATCAAAATAAACAAACATAAAAGAAAATAACAAAAAAAATTGACAGAGAGACAAAAGGGAGTATTATTTAAGAGGAAATGGTAAAAAATGCCAAACAAAAATATCCTCCATTATAATTTGGCTCATAAATGTCATTACCATCGATACTTTGGTCCAAAAATGCCCCTATAGTTACAAAATGGATCAAAAATGTCCTTTTTCGAATAAATATATTTTTTTTTCTTTTTAAACACATCTTCTTCCTAATTAAAATATTATTAAAAAATATCATTCTTGTTTTTTTCTTCAAAAATCACTTTAACAAATAAAAATATAGGAAACGTTTTTTCTTCTTAATCTCATTTTATCAATTAAAATAGAATAACTTCATGTTCCCTTTCGAGAGATAATATATATCATATAAATAAAATCATAGTATATCGATCATTAATTTATATATAATGATAAAATAATGATAGTAAAATAAGAAATATTTTTATTTTTTTCCTGAAATGTGTTAAAGAGAAAATAATAATATATTTATTTAGAATATGAGCATTTTGACCCATTAAATAACAATAAGGACATTTTTGGACCAAAATATCGACGGCTAGAATATTTTTGGATCAAACTACAAACGGAGGACATTTTTATTTCTTCCACATAGTTTAAGGGCATTTGAGCCAAAGTATTGAAGGTACGGACAATTTTAGGCAAACTATAAACGGGGACATTTTTATTCCTTTCACATAGTCTAAGGATATTTAGTTTAAATATCACGTTATTTTAATTTTTGTTATATTATCATTTGAATTCATTGTTAGGTAACCATAAAAATTTTCATTCGTTATAATAACCAATTTTCTTTTCTTTTACCTAAACAATTTCATTGCTTCACTCCGCTCGCCTACAAAAATGTATTTCGTTCGCCTACAAAATTACCTTTCTAGTCGAGCACACGAGAAGGCCATGTAGAAGTCCTCCATCTTTATGTTACCGACCTGATCATCCATATCAGAAGAAACTGGTTCATCCAGACAGGCCGTAATAAGTCGCTAGTCGAAGGTTTAGACCAATCGCAATTCATCACCATCTTTCCCACCTCCAATTAATGACGTCGCTCACAACATGACTGGTCTTCCAGCGGTAGTGAAAATTCTCCCGTTCTCTAGTCAAAGACTTAGTTAGATGCGGGACATACTCCCTGAGGAGTGATACTAACGTTATATCATATCATCACCATCTCTCTTTTCGTACCAATAAGAATGCTTATTGCCACTTCATCAACTGATCACGTCCTTATTTTAATATTTTTTTTCTCATTGTGTGGTTACTTATGTTTTAAGAAAAAACTACATAAAATATATCAAATTGTAAAACTATTTATCCAAACTGAAGTCAACTCAAACTTTTTATTTTAATGGACCCATGGCCCGAATTGTTTACCCGTTTATCTCATTTTCTTCTTTCTTATTTCGGGCATGACGTTAGCATCACTACTATGAATTAATCATCTATGATAGCCGTAGGTATATAGATACAATATCGGTATCATATAGGACTATACAAGACTGAGCTTAATCATCTGTGATACTTTGTTGGTATATTGATACCCTATCAGTATCATATTGGATTGGACTCTTTTTTTTTAAGAAATAAACAAGTATTAATTAAAGAAATTTATTAAAGTATCTTATTTATTAATAGAACTTTTTAATATATTTTTTTCATTTTGTATTTTTTTATAAAAAATGTATCTAAATTATGACACCTTTTAAAACTATTTTTAAATTACAATATTGAAGAATTGAAACATACCTCAATGATATCACAATAATAGATAGATATATAGTAATATTATGTAAATTAAACATAATATTACTTTCATAATTCATACACAATAAAATAAAATTATTAACTATAATATTATTTATAAAAAACTTACCGCTACCAAATATGAAGTCCCTATTGAGTTGGTGAAGGGCAGATAGTTGATGGGGAATTTATAGTTGGAGAGATATTTTGTGAAGGAGGTAGATAGGTGATAGGAAAGTTAGGTATTTTATTTAATTATTAATGATCCAAAGTCCATCAAATATTCTGTCCATCAAAACAAGGCATTGTTTCTTTTTGGTCATGTAACGAACACAAAGCACCACGTGCCCCTTTTCATTTATTGACTATATAATATAATACTCCATAATTATTATTTTATTTTATTAGAAGAAGAAAGAGAAATCCTCGTACTGCCAATATTCTCCATCTGTCTACTTCAACTTTTCTTATTGCCTTCAAAATCTCACTTTAATATTCATGTTATATACACGTATTATATATCAAGGCGGATCTAGGAATTAGGGTTATTGTATGTCAAGCAGAGGTGGATTTATATGATTTAATAGGGGTGTACGTGAATTGGTTAATTTAAAAAAAAATTATGTGTATATATGTATATCTAT